AAATCAAAGGTTGGAAAAAGATATATCAAGCAAATGGCAACTGTAAGAGAGCAGGAGTGGCAATATTAATTTCTGATCAAATTGACTTTAAGATATAATCGGTTGTTTGTCTTTCTGCAGATGAATTGTTGAAGTTTTCCATAAATTTTAGAGAGTAAACCCTTATCAGATATGTCATTTCTTCAGATTTCTTCTCAGTCTGTAGGTTGTCTCCTTAGTGTTGATCAAGTATTTTGATTAGCGTAAGCTTTTAATTTTTATGAGTCCCATTTATCTATTTTTTATTCTATTTGTGCATTTGTTGTTATATTTGTTGTGTTTATCTATATTTTGCAAAAGCTTAAGTCTCATAGTTTTCTCCCAAGAAATTTATAGCCTTAGGTTTAACATTTAGGTCTTTGATTTCACTTTGAGTTCATTTTTGTGGATGGTGTGAGGTATGGATCCTGTTCCATTTTTCTGCAAGTAAATAAGCAGTTTTGCCAGCATCATTTGTTAAAGAGATTGTTTCCACCCCACTGAATGGACTTTAGCCGCCCTACAGAAAATCAGTTGTCCATAGATGCCTGGATTTTTTTCTGGGTTCTCAATTCTATTCTACTAGTCTATGAGTCTATCACTGAATCAATACCAGGCTGTTTTGATTATAGTGGCTTTACACTATGTTTGGATACAGGAAAGTATGAGGCCTCCTGCTTTGTTCATCTTCTTCAATATTGCTTTGGCTATTCATGGTTTTTTTCCTTTTCATATGAAGTTGGTCATTAGTTTTTCCATTTCAGTAAAGAATGTTGCTGGGATTTACGCTGGGATTTGTACCAGGATTGAACTGCATCTGTAGATTGCTTTAGATAGAATTGACGTTTTCACTACCTTAAGTCTTCTATAAAGCACATTCCTTACATAGGGCTTTACATGTATTAGTTGACAACCACCCTAAGATACAGATACTATTTTTATCACTACTTACAAACAAGGAAAAAAATGCCTCAGAAGGGTTAAGTAACTTGCTTAAAGTTAGAAAGCCAGTAAATGGCAGAGGCAGGATTCAAACATTTGGCTTCAGAGCCAGTATTTACACTTCCTGTTCTGAGCTTTGTGAGCTAATAGTGGAGGTAGACATACACATATTTAAAAATAAACACACATGCATGATACATGCAAGGAAACATTCAGAAAATAAACTAACATCCAATTTGAGGCCTAGGTTGGAATAAGACTTGTATCTTGATGACAACTGTTACTAATCTTAAAACTGGTGAAAACTATGCATTTCAATAAGTTAGTTAATAACACACTCATTTAATGAGTGCCTGCTATGTGCTTAGCTGAGGAGGAAAGAATCTAAGACATGATCCATTCTTTCAAGAAGGTTATAACGTGAAACTATAATATCATGGCATTATTTTAAGAACATAGAGAAATGTAAACGTCCAAATAAATGATCACCTAATTTGGTGACATATTTATCTACAGGTCAAACTGCCTTTGGAAACAATTTATGAAATACACAGTAGATTTCATTACTTTAAGCTCACAGTTGATTTTTACCCTTAACAGTGCTATCCATCTTAATAACTATTTTATTTGACATTTGGTTAGTTCTAAAAACATAATCCATCCTCGAAGGAAATTTGCTACGACTATTTGTGATATATATACCCACATACACACACACACGTATGTACATTAATATAGATAGATATACATACATACATAAACATGTAGCTTGTGGTTTAAGGGGGCAATTCCCAGAGGAATGAGCAAAATCAGTGCATAATCAGCCAGTAGGAATATAATATGAACCACATATGTAATTTAAAATTTTCTAGTAACCACATTTAAAGAAGTAAAAACAAACAGGTAAAATTAATTTTAATACATTTTATTTAACCCAATATATCAAAAAACTCATTCCAACATGCAAAAAATCCCACTGCTGTCAAGTTAATTCTGACTCATAGTGATCCTATGGGACAGAGTAAAACTGCCCCATAGAGTTTCCAAGGCTATAAATATGAAAGCAGACTGTCACATCTTTCTCCTGTGGAGCATGTGGTGGGTTCAAACAGCCAACCTTTCATTTAGCAACCAAATGCTTAACCACTGTGCCACCAGAGCCCCTCTTCCAACATATAATCTCATTAATGAGAAATTGACTTTTTTTTTTAATACTAAGTCTTCAAGATTTACTGTGCTTATACCTATAGCACATCTCAGTTTGGATCAGCCCCATCTCAAGTGCTCAAAATATTCTGCATGTGTCTAGTGAGAGCCATACTGGACAGCACAGGACAAAATATTTAGAGCTACAGCTGTCATACTAGAATAAGAGTAAAAACACCTCATTCCCGTCATATCTTATTCTGTAAAGTAACAACTTTAAGAGGAATAATACTTACCTGGATGCAAGTAAAATATCACGGAATAATAAAAGATAGCTTGTGATCACATTTAATTGGGGGTATAAGCTCAAAATAATGTAAGAATTTGGATGAAAGACCAAAGTCATCCTTCTTGGAGGAGCCTAGCTCATCAGTAAAGATGAGTAGTTGGAGTAGAGAGAAGAGTATTTTAAAACATTTAACGGTTAACTCTGCCAGACAAGAAACAATGATACTAATAAGCTAAGAAAAACTCAGTTCAAATAAACTAATTATTATAGTCAACCACACAACTCTCAGGATCCCAATGAACGAAAGTGTCGGTAGTGAGCCACTCTTTTATCCTGAGATACATAAGCAGAGAATAATAAAACCACATAGACTTTAAAACTGAATTAAATGTTGGAATCCTAAAATGACTTACTTCATAAAATTTGGTTCATAATCTCTTTATAATCCCTGGATCCAAGTTAGCTTATGTATAAAACAAAGTGACTACAATTCTGAGATCCCATATATAGCTAGGGTGACTTGTAATTTACTGTTCAAACTTAGATACTTTCAAGAGTAAAAGGGGCACTGTTAATAATTGTTCTTGGACAACAGGCATAAGCCAAGACTGCTTCTATTCTACCAAGCCGATCCAACAGCTAGCCCTGTTCAGGGATGTGGAGCTAATGGAAATCCAGGCATGTTTGTATTACCTCTGTTTGGCCACAGGGGCTTTGTGGGCTAATACCCTTCAATCTGGGTGAGGCAATTCTGCACACCCCCAAAGCATTTTAAGTTGGTTTGAATTTGGGAACAGGGTCCATATGGACAGAGCTGGACTCTGACAGCCTGAATGTATTTACTGAAGACAACAAATCATTGACAGACTAAATGTAACAGAGGAAAGGCCTGGCCTGCTTGTACTCAGAATCTGACTTTGTAATTGTAGCCTCTTTTAGACAGGCCTAATCAATTAGAAGAGGCTGATTTTAACCAGTTGCAGGCTCATTACTCTGCATTCCAGTTTGTGTTGATGAAAATTAGTTTCAGTCTCTGGCCTGGAACTCATGTACAGCACTTCCTGCATCCTCTTATATAAACACATCATTATTTTTTTTTTATTTGGAGTTGCCTTTCTCCTTTTTATTTTAAGAAAACCACTTTGTGAATTAAGATTAAAATAGAACAATTGTATGTGGATCTGAGGGCCAGTCCCAGAAGCATACACGACTAAGGAACATGTATGAAATCAGACATTGAGGTAGCAAGTCATACATGTATTGGTATAGGGATGGATTTAAGACTAAGTCTCAAACAGCTAGGCTTCAGCATCAGATGAGCCCAGTTTAGTTACTTCCACAGAATAGAACAGAAAGAACTCTCAGTTACTGACAGTGACAACTTCTGAAAGAAAATGCATGAAATGCAAGAGCTGAGGTCTTAGAAACATAGCATATCTGAGTGGAGTTCATGCTCTACCCTGAATGACCAAATAAACAGCAAATTTCCAACTCAACAAGGACAACCTTCCCTGAGAAGACTCTATGAGGGAATTATATGATACATTGTTTAATTTTGATGTGTAGTGAGCCTCTAGAAGTGGAGGACAGGAGAGTGTGTGGAAGAGCCACTCAAAACCCCACCTACATTTCAAAGACCTGTAACCATTCCAAAATGTGATATAACAATGAATCATACCTGGCTGGTTGCCCTTTGTGGGTTTGTCAAGGCAGCAAGTCAACAGAAAGAGAATATCAATATATACAGCTCTGGTCACCAAACATGGATTTTGCCTGGGAAAGTAAAGAACAGAAAATAAATTGGTATTTTCTCCCCTAAGGCCTAGATCATATGAAAGCAGAAATGGATATTTTCTACCAGGCATGTCATGGAGTTAAGGGAGTTATGATGAATGCCATAAAAAGATGGACAATCATCCGTGGAGAGAACGTCAGCAACTCAAATAAGTTCCAAGGGCATATGACGAGGTCAAAGCTATACATGAACAACGTAAATAAAATTCTATGCTCTGGCTCCAAATAAATGGAAAACAAACAAATAGACAAACAAACAAACACCCTACCCTAGTTATTTTGAATGCACGGTGGAGGAACTATATTCTATTATTTCCTTATTAAGAGGACAAATGTGGGGGGAAAAAAATCACTGGTCATGAAAATCACTGATTTAGCACTATGGAGAAGAACTGCACCCCTTGACAAACCATAACTATGAACTTAAAATAAGGAGCTAACAAGCATTAACAAACACTGGAGCTGAGAGTCTTTTCCCCAAAAATGGATTTCTTTCTTCTTTCAATAAATGGAGAAGCTTATCTCATGCTTGGAACCACACAATGGAAAAAGTAAGTGGGCTCAGATTTGGGGGTCTAGATAAAAAAGGAAGAATGAGAACTGTCTCTTGAAAAAACACTGAAGGCCTCTGACTCTGAGCCACAACTCATACTGACCATAAAAAGGGCCAATGATGGAGCACGATTAGTAAAAACAGTAGGGCAAACCTGTGTTTGAATTCTGTCTTAGCTACTCATCTCTGTGTCCTAGAAACAGATTCCTGACCTGTAAAATGGGAACTATAATATGACCTCCCTGGGAGTTGCTGTGTGTTCAGTGTGGCACAACAAAGAAAATGCTCATGCCCCTTTTAGTGCCTGGCCCATGGCAGAGGCTCAACTGTTAATTTCCTGCCCTTCTCCTCTTCCTTCAACATTAGGGAATGGTAGTGAAAACGGCAGAAGTGTTCTGGCTAGTGGATTACCAGTTGGCTAAATTCTTCCTTCTCATTGCCCGTATGTGAATAGTTTCATAATTTTCCTATAGCTTATTCATACCTCTGTCCCCAGTTGCCCATATCCTGGGGCTGGCATATGATTTAGCATGAAAAACGTATCAGATACTTTTGATTTGAAGCTAAACCGCCTATGATGGAACAACGGATGTCACTGCTGATGTTAGATGAATGACTGAAAGCAAAGAATATCAGAAAGATGTTTACCTGTTTTATTGACTATGCAAAGACATTCAACTCTGTGGATCATAACAAATTATGGATAACATTGTAAAGAATGAGAATTCCAGAACACCTAATTATGCTCATGAGGAACCTGTGCATAAACTAAGAGGCTGTCATTCAAACAGAACAAGAAGATATTCTTTTAAAATCAGGAAAGGTGTACATGTGGATTGTATCCTTTCACCGTACTTATTCAATCTATATGCTGAGCAAATAATCTGGGAGGCTGGACTATATGAAGAATGAGGAATCAGGTTTGGAGGAAGACTCCTTAACAACCTGTGATATGCAGATGACGCAACCTTCCTTGCTGAAAGTGAAGATGACTTGAAGCATTTACTGATGAAGATCAAAGACTACAGCCTTCACTAAGGAATCCACATTAAGATGAAGGAAATAAAATTCCTTATAACTGGACCATAAGTAACATCATGATAAACAGAGAAAAGACTGAAGTTATCAGGGATTTAATTTTACTTGGATCCACAATCAACATCTGTGGAAGCAGTAGTCAAGAAATCAGATGTATTGCACTGGGTAATCTGCTGCAAAAGAGCTCTTTAAAGTATTAAACAGCAAAGATGTCATTTTGAAGACTAAGGTACGCCTGACCCAAACCACACTATTTTCAACAGCCTTATATGCACGTGAAAGCTGGACAGTGAATGAAAAGACTGAAAAGGAGTTATGCCTTTGAATTGGGGGACTGGTGAAGAATACTGACAATACCATGGGCTGCCAGAAGAAAGAACAAATCTGCCTTGGACGAAGTGCAGCTAGAATGCTCCTTAGAAGCGAGAAAGCCAGACTTCATCTCATGTACTTTGGTAATGTTGTCAGAAGGGACCAGTCCCTGGAGAAGGATAGCATGCTTGGTAAAGTGGAGGGTCAGTGAAAAAGGGAAGGCCCTCAATGAGATGGACTGACACAGTGGCTATGATGATGGGCTCAAGCACAGATAAGAATGTGAGGATGGTCCAGGACTGGGCAGTGTCTTGTTCTGTTGTACACAGGGTCATTATGAGTTGGAACTGACATTAGGGCATCTAACAACAACAACAACATGATGTTGCTGATCCATTCCATTTTTGTCCCACTGACTCCTACCCTCCTGTAACTACCAGTTTATCTGTATAACTTGGATCTGGCCTAATTTGATACCTGTAACTATCTTTAAAATTTTTTTGTTTCTAAATGGGTAACACATGTACATGGCATAATTCAAAGAGTACAAAAGGGCATGCAGTGAAAACTAAGTCCCTTTCTATACCCCCACCTTCTTGCCCACCTTCTGTTTCTGAGGCAACCATTATTTCTACTTTCTTGGACATCCTTCCAAGCACAATCTAGTAATTCAAACATCTATCTACAGCTATCCCATTTGCTTATTTTTATATAAATTGTGGATTACTAGATACTAAATTCAGGAGCTCTGGTAGCGTAGTGCCTAAGGCACTTGACTGCTAACCAGAAGGCTGGCGGTTCAAACACACCAGCCACTCCTCGGAAGGAAGATGGGGCACTCTACTTCCATAGTGATACTGCCTCGGAAACCCAAGGAGGGGTCGCTACGAGTCAGGTCTGACTCGATGGCACATAACAACAACAACAATATATACTAAATTCTATTTTTTTCCAATAATATATTTTAAATATCATTCTATTAAGAACATAGAGATTTGCATTCTTAAAAAATGGTTATAAACTGTTTTATTTCATGAACATACCTGTCCCCTATTGAAATAATTCAGATTAAGAGTCTTTGCTACTGAAAATAATGCTCTAATAAATATATTTGTATATGAGTTTGGTGCTTATGAATAAGTATCCAGAAGAGAAATTCATAGAGTGAAATTACTAGATCAAGGTTTATGCACATTTAAAATTCTGATTGATTTTTTACAAGAGGACCTTCACAAAGACTATGTCAACTTACACTTTCACTAACAGTGTCTAAGAAGTCCAGTTGCTGGATAATGTATTATTAAACCTTTTTGGCCTTGCTAAGATAAGTGAAAAACAACTACTTCACTAGTTTAATCTGAAATTATTTTATAATGGGTGAGGCTGATCATCCCTTCAAGTGCTTTGTGAAAAAGTATTTGAATTCTCATTTATGTAAATGGTGCTCAAAGTCCCTTTCCATTAAATTGCTGATTTCTTCCTCTTAATCTGTAAGGAAATATGCCCTCTGTCTGTAGCCTATGTTGTAACTATGCTTTCCCAGTTTGTC